TGATGATATTCCCAGAGGTGATATTTCCTTTGTTTATTCTCTAGCATTCAACAAGCATCTATGATGTACCACTTAGCCTTAGGTGAAACAAAAATATTCTCTTAAAAATTACCCAATTTAAAACAATCACCCAATTTACAACATTTTAAAATATTTAAAATTATAACTTGTTGTGTCACAATGCCAGGGGCTAATCAACAAACAATAAGAGCAACCAGAAGAGATATTATAGTAGAAATAGGCGTTTGTGATGGACTAGAAGGGTTGAGCTCAGTAGTTCAATTTATAAAGTGACTCATTAATAGTACAGTGGCTGGCACATCATTGGTAGTTAATGAAATATTTGTGGAGTGATTAAATGAAAGCAGGGATCTTGTTTGTTGGTTTCACAGCTGCACGTCCTTAGACCAGTGTCTGGCACATAAAAATATTTAAATGTTAGTGTGGAATAACAAATATCTAATTACATTTATTTATTCTGCAATCACTTATAATGTGATTACAAACAAATTTAATGTGCAGACTCATTATTGAAACCTCAACTACTACTCAAGAGGCTGGCATTTGGTTTCTAGCCAGAGCAATACAATTTTTCCTCTGCAATGTAAGTGACATGAGACAAGACTTTGTCTGAGTTTGTTGATACTTAGCATCTTGTTTTATTTTATTTTTTAATCATTATTTCATCATTTATTTGCTTATTTAAGAAGTTCTATTAAATCTCAATTTCCTAGCTCCATCATTATAAAATTATACAATTCACACTTAACATTTAAATAAAAATCCATTAAATGAATGAATGCTAATTTCCAGTCATTTCACAAAGAAAATTTACAGCATGTGTCAATCTATTCTATATGTTCTATATGTTAATAGAATAAAATCTATGTTATATATTATAAAATAAAAATCTATATATTTAGGCATCAATTTTATACATACATACATACATATATGTTAAATATATACAACTGAATCTTTGTTATTTCACAGTAGTAACAAGCATCTATCATAGTGTTACTTTGAGACATTTCCCTCAGAATTATCAGCCTATGAGAAGGTGGTACCATGCCCAACTTCCATACAACTGGGCCAGCATTTCTGATTAATTTTTAATCCAACTTTTATGAGTTTTCTCAGTATTAACCACAATCCTAGTTGGGGAGTGGGAGGAGGGAAGGTGTATAAATTTAAAACCAAAAACAAAAAAAAGATTGTCTTTCAGGAATGAAAAATAAATGTAATCTGAAATCAATATTTATGAAGTTGTGATTAATTGACTGATGACCAAATGATTACAAAACGTCTGTCTGAAACATCTACTCAAATTTATTAGCTTTGACCAAAAAAATTAAAAAACAATCTGAACTCGGTCAATGAAAGAATAATGCATTCCTAATCAATTTTTAATAGCACTTAAGATTTTATATTTTTTTAAACTTGCTTTTAAATAATTTATCATAAAAATGAATCTGATTTAAACAAGGGGTAAAAGGTGTTCCATAGCTATTTGATGGTTTTCTTAGCAAAGAAATTCAATTATGACTGACTTTTTATTACTGAACTACTTTATTAATAATAATACATCTTGCACTTACATGACGGCACTGGGCCAACAATCTCAGAAGTCCTAGTCAGATCTAGGATTTAGCTCCAATTCTACCATTATGTATTGGTTTACCTTATCAGGACCTCAATTTCTTACCTATGAAAGGAAAAGCCAGTATAAAACCCTAAAGTTCTAAAAATTTAATTTGCAAAAATTTAGTTTTGCCTAAATCAGGAGCTATACTTCAAAGAATTCTCCAGTTCAGAAGACTCGTCAAAATGCTCCCAAAATGCCAAGAAAGAAATTTAGAAGAAAGTCAATGAACTTTGTCATTTTCCTCTGTCCATTAGAGTAATAGCACTGGCTAATGATTTGGGCTAAAAACTGCTATTTAGAACATAATTTGTTAGAGGTTCGAAGAGGGAAGGAAGGAAGAAGGAAGAAGGAGGGAAAAAGGAAGGAAGGAAGGAAGGAAGGAAGGAAGGAAGGAAGGAAGGAAGGAAGGAAAGAGGGAAGGAGGGAAGGAAGAAAGGAAAGAAGGAAGGAAGGAAGGAAGGAAGGAAGGAAAGAAGGAAGGAGGAAGGAAGGAAGGAAGGAAGGAAGGAAGGAGGGAAGGAGGAAGGAAGGGAGGAAGGAAGGAAGTGAGGGAGGGAGGGAGGGAGGGAGGAAGGAAGGAAGGAATGAAGGAAGGAGGGAGGGAGGGAGGGAGGGAGGAAGGAAGGAAGGAAGGAAGGAAGGAAGGAGGGAGGGAGGGAGGGAGGGAGGGAGGGAGGGAGGAAAGAAGGAAGGAGGAAGGAAGGAAGGAAGGAAGGAAGGAAGGAAGGAAGGAAGGAAGGAAGGAAAAATCTCTCTACATAACATAGGAAAAAGATAGAACCTGGTCATAATTGCGTTGTTGGAAACCAGAGTTGGGGATTAATTTGGGTAATTTAGACCTAAAGAAAGTCCTAATAAGTTTACACTGCTATTATTTAGATGTGTGTATATACATGTGTGCGCGTGCTACCCAAAAAGCTTTAGTGAACAAAACAGTTAAGTTACAGCATTGTCCTATTCTGTTTATGCAAACAGTAATATATATGTATACATACGTATTAATATGTTTGCAAGGATATGTGCTAAAATGTTAATATGATTACCACACAGGATAAAAAAGGCAAGGCATTAGTATAGACAAACTTTTCATTATATTTTATACTTAATGATTTAATTTTCTTTAAGTGAAGCCATATTAGTATTATAATTAGCAAAAAAAGCTATAGTAATCCATTTTGACAAGAAAAACAAGCAAAGACAATGTTTAAAGTAAAACAGCCTTGGTTTGTAATAAAGGTAGACTAGCTAAAGAAAATTCCACTTGGTGAAAGGGACATTTAATACCCCATACTAAGTAAATCACATATAATCCTTGATTTCAAGAAGCAGAGTCTATTTGGGGCAATTATATAAAATCCATCTATATCGTACATAATCAGCACAGAAATATCATACAGACTTTAAAACCAGCACTGAGAAGTTATGATGCTGGTAAAAAAGGTGGAAATGTTAAAAACAGTATAAATTTTAAAAGCACGATTTTAAATTTAGGTTATGGTTGTTACCACTTTGTGAATTAGTAGTAACATTAGTAACAATGATGATCAGCAAGAATAAACTTGACCAATATCAATGGAAAAGACTTTAAAGTAAATAAATATCTTCAACATGACTTTTTGCTATGCTCTTCTCAGGTATGGATATAAGAGGCACAAAATTCTAGTCGTCCATCCCACTCAAAGAGTGGTAACAACAGTCCCTTAAAATACCACCTTAGGTATAAGCCTGGCTGGGCAAAGGGACAGGGGGAAGAGTACAGTGTGAAAGTAGAGTCACAGTGTATGATCTAGGGGTGGGTGGGGTGGGGGGTCTCATGGTGAAGTTTGTAATCTATATCCAGGCCTGGGAAAGATGCAGAACCTAAATGAATTCTACACATTTAAGGTTCTGCATCTCAGTTCTTATATAAATATGACTTTGCCTTAACACAGCAAAGAAATTGCAAATCCAGATGACTTTTACACTGAACATTCTGAAGAATGGCCATTGAAAATACAACCAGTGACTGTTTTGCCCCATTTTCCAATTTCAAAAACTGAAGTTACTGAATTATTTGGAAGGAAAATTGTTGCCACCTGTGAGCCCATTTTGAACATGATGTGGGTTTCTTCAAATCAATTCCAAGCTGCTCCTGTCTCATTTATTGTTTGGTCCTTTCACATACTCATGATGATAGTGTGCCTACATTGAACACACACAGGCACACACACGCCACCACCACCACCATCACCACAAACAAGAACGCAAGAAGCATCGAAGTCAAATAAATCCTCCTCTGGAATCAGTAAGGGCAGAAATGGCAACAAGATTTCTACCTCAGCAGTTTTGGTCCCATCAGGTCTAGACCCCTTTTAACCAGGAAACCATTTCTTCGGATTCTCCTTCCTCTTTCCCTGAAATATTAATAAACAGCAGTTGCCATGGTTTTGCTTCTAAATGCCCCAACTCACTCCATCTGCGTTTGACTGAATACATTGATCATACCAGCGTTTACACCCATCTAGTACGTTGCAGGTAAATTTCCGGTGTAATGTATTCACGGTCAGTCTCAGGCATTCCGACGCTTCTCTTTTCATTGGTGGGAATGCGAATTTCAAACTTCACCTCTGCCCCGCGCCTAAGTTCCGAAGTTCCGAGGCACCTTCCCTGCACCTGCGTATGGCTTTGCACGCCAGGGCGAGCGCACTCCGGGAGCGTGCATGCCCAGGACTCAGTATCTGCAGCCAGCTCACTCGTGTCTATCCATTTCCATGCTTCTGGGCCCTTAATTCTCTAGAATAAAAACCCACCGGAGGGATCCAGAGTGGAAGTTTGCCTTCAGGGAAAGCTGTTTGATAAAGTGTAGCCAACGCCCAACGTAAAGGGACAAACCGTACTTGGTACTCTTAAGCACTTCGACTCCATTTACGAAAGGGAACTGAGCAAGGCAGAGAGTTGTTTTTAAAAAAAGAGAATGCCTCCTCCCGCTTTTCTTTTTTTGCACCTGTCTGGGACTTCACCCACCCGCCAGCAAAGATTCGGAAAATCTAAAAAAAATTTCCTAGTTCCTTCTCCTCGCTCCACTCTTATCTGGGCCATGAACACCTGCACATGTCTTGCACATTTCCTCCACAATTCCTATATAATCAACCGCCTGCTTCTTTCCCCTTCCCAGGCGCGCCGGAGCTCCGGCGGCGCCGCGGAACGTTTGCTAGAAGCAGGAAGGCAAGAAGGCAGCGTGGGTGAAAAGGCTTGGGGCGACCGCGTGTTTCGGCAGCCAGCGCGTTTTCGCCTTTTTTTTTTTTTCTTTCCCGCCCCCCCCCTGCTCCGGCGGGTTGTGTGGCCCTGCCGGGCCGCCGTAGCCGGCCTCGCGCGGGGCCCCAGTGGCGGCGCGGCTCGGCGCTCGCGGCGGGACTTCCGTGTTGGCGGGCTTCTGAACGCTGCCATGGCTCAGACCGTGCAGAACGTTACCTTGTCCCTCACGCTGCCCATCACGTGCCACATTTGCTTGGGGAAGGTAAACGGCGGCGGGGGCGAGCGCGGGGGCGGGCCGCGAGCCGGCCCACGCGGGTGGGAAGCGGCGGCGGCGCGGGCGGGCGGAGTGGGCGCGCGTGGCGGAGGCTGGGGCGTGGGCGCCGGGGCCGTGGCGGGGAGAAGCCGCCGCCCCTGCCCCCGCCGGCCGGTCCCTGGCGCTCCGGGCAGGCGGCGGCGGCGGCCGGCGGGAGCCGAATGAATGGGCTGGTCCTCCGGCCGCGTGAGTGAACGGCGGCCCGGGCCGGCGCGGCTGCTCCCGCCCGCGTCCGCAGAGGCCTGGTCAGCGGGTGGAGCCGCCGCGGCCTCTCGCGCCCACCGTGTGCCGCCCCCTCCACGCCCCCCCCCGGGAGTCCACGCACCTTTTCCCATCGCCCCCTTCCTCCCCCCCCCCCCCCCGACACACACACTCCCACCGGGCACCCGGCTGCCCTCCACCCAGCTCGCGTGCCCGCGTGCTGCCTCGGGCCTACGTACGGCTCTGCCAGGTCGGGGAGTCCGTGCCACGAGCTCTTTTTCTTTGATTTATTTTATTTTGTTTATTTTTTCTGAAACCGGCCCCGAGGCTGGGGTTTTTTTCTTTTTTGCACCCCGCTCCCCTCACCCCCTTCCCCCCTCCCCCCTCCCCATCCCGTTCAGCGTTTGGACCTGGACGCACAACCTGGAATGGGATTTAGAATGGGATGTGGAGGGGTGGGGGGAGGCGGTGATGATCCTTCCTGCCTACCTCTGACCCCCCGTTGCACGCGCGCCCCGTTGTGAAATGCAAAGGGGCCAGGGAGTGAATGTGGTTTGTGTGTGTGTGTGTGTGTGTATACCGTGTGGGTTTACTACCCACCCACCCACACACATCGTGTGTGTGTGCATCGTGTGTGTGTGTGTGTGTGTGTGTGTGTGTGTGTGTGTGTAGACCGTGTGGGTTTACACCCCACCTACACACATCCCGGACACGTAAGAACTACACAGGGCGTGTGTGTGTGTACACCGTGTGGGTTTACTACCCACCCACCCACACACATCGTGTGTGTGTGCATCGTGTGTGTGTGTGTGTGTGTGTGTGTGTAGACCGTGTGGGTTTACACCCCACCCACACACATCCCGGACACGTAAGAACTACACAGGGCGTGTGTGTGTGTGTACACGTACCGTGTGGGTTTACTCCACACCCTCCCACACACATCCCGGACACATGGGAACAACAGCCCCTAAGATTGCAAAGTACAAACTTCGTGGCTGCAGTGGCTCCAACAGTTGATCGCTGGCCTGTGTGATCACCTGCCTCAGGTGCTGAGGTGTTTGGGGATGCTCTGTGAACCCCATGCGTTCTGGCAGCAGAGGGAAGTCATGCTCTGTCTGGACCACTGATAACTCTTGGGACCGGTGCCGAGTGATAGGCTAGAGAAATCGCAGCCGGGCCCTCAGCTTGGTCCCTTCCCTGTAGAGAGATCCAGGACTGTCTCTTGGAGAGCGTGCAGCTAACTGGTTTGGCCTTTGCAATCACTGCCTACATAGTGGCTGGAAGGATATGATGTTTCTCTTGGCTGCAATGAGCATTTGTTCGCCTGACTTGAAGTGCCCACAATTTTATTTATGTGTTAAATTTTGAGTGATTTTTTTTTCTAGCTTTAGGCGTACAGACTGATATTTAGAAAAAAAAAGCTTAACATTTCTCTCAGTCTTTTTTGTACACATTATAACTTATTTCTGTTAGTTACAATGCTGGCCTTTGTAACTGTGTCTCTTTTCTGTTTCATTTCTTATACCTATGTTTTTAGTGATTAAAAGTGATATTTAAGGACAGTGATGATTTTGTAGATAACAGTGCTCTTGTGTGATTTGTTTATTCCTCTCATCTGTGTGAGAGGAGAGTCCAGTGCCTCCCCTCACCCCCACCCGTACACACATACATACCTGATTCTTTTTTTAGAAAAAGAAAACTGAAGCATGGAATCGCTACAGTGTTACTGTGTTTTGGTAGATGATTTTCTTCCAGTAAACACTAACTGGAGCACTTTCACAAGGAACACTTTGGGTGTCTCCCCTCTTCCCCCTCCCCCTCCCATTGGTAAGCTTTATTCCACAATTAAATCTGATAAAAGTAAGTAAAAGTAAAGGCCCTCCCGTTGATCATCGATTTGCTCCAGCGGGCCCAGTAACGTCTCCATTGGAGACTTTGTTGTTACTGTGTCTGGCATATCGAATACCTCACGGGGAGCTTGCCAGGCTCTGCCTTAGGGGCGAGATACTCTCGGTAGCTTGCCGGGCTCTCGGAGAGGGGTGGAGGAATCGAATTCTGGTCGGCCATGTTGGCTGCATGCAAGGCAAATGCCCTACCTCTGTGCTATTGCTCCAGCCCAAATTAAATCTGATAATTATTTATAAACTGCACCCCCTCCGCCCCCCAGTCTTCTATGAAGATAGAAAATTGTACTTAAGGGTCTGAATTCTATGTTCAGATTGGGTAGGTTGTAATTTTAGCTCTTCTCCTTATCTGGTTACATGACCTTATAGAGTAACTTTATCTCTCTCTCTCTCTCTCAGGGAGAAGTAATAGTATCAAGACAAGAAATCATAACACTGTTGCTTTTTGTGTATGTGGAACAAATCCAATGCTCTTGTGCTACCCCCTTTCCTTGGAGTACTGGAGATAGTGAGATGGGAGTCAGGCATACCCCAGTATCCCTTCACCTCCCTACCACCCAACCCCTCTGGTCACTCCTGAGACCTACAGTTAAGTAGGTAGGCTCAGAAGGAGGGAAAGAATGGACAGTGCTTTGTCTTTGGAAAGTTGAAACATTTTACATTGATCACCTCTTTCCCAGCATTAGTATTAAAGGTAGATTTTTGTTTTCCTGCCCAATTAGAGTTTGGGAACCTTGCCAATATGGTTAAGAAGCTGTGTGTGAGCCTGAAATTAGCTGTCTATCCTGTGAGGTGATTGATGTGTATTGGATTTTCTTGCCTATTCTTCCTTCAACTTCCCATGCCTTAGCCTAGTGGACCAGCAAGCAGCAATGTAAAAATGTAAGCTCAGGATATCTGTTAAGTGATATTTTAATACTACCATCAGATTGCTGCAGACTTGTTATCTCTAGATAATCCCAAGCATTTATCTCTTCAGTTAGACTTTAAGCTGTGAAACGAAATTGTAGTGGCATGCGCTTCTGTAGTTGGCCGTGTCTGTGCTTCACTAGGAGAGCTTGCTATGGCTGAAATCAGAAATGAAATAAGCTTCCTTATAGTCTGTGCTGTCTGACTCTAGGAGTGTCTGTCAGAGGATGGACTGTTTCTTACTAGGTGAACTGCAGGAAAGGATCCACTCAGGAAGAACTTTCTTCCTTTTCCACCTATATGATTGATTAAAAGTGTTGAAAAGATAGAACTGAGCTAGCTTATTCAACTTGCGGTTGTTTTTATTTTTGGACCACTGCTGGGGTACAGTGATTCAGAGATTCCTCCCAGCTCTGCACTCAGCCACGTGAGGTACAGGGATTGAACCTGGGTCAGCCATGTACAAGGCAAATAACCACCTGCTGCACTATCGCTCCGGCCCCGCAACTTTTAAGATCGAGTTCCATCTTTCTTTCTTGACTAACTTTATGAATCGGCATCATTGGGGACTGTTAATTGGACAGCAAGCCATCTCCATCAAGCCCATGCTAGAGTTCTGATTGCTGGTCAGTTCCCAAGAGTGGATTTAAGAACTGACCTCGCATATAATTGTCACAAGTAATTTCCTTTGAAAAAAAGACACTTAGGAGGTAGAAGGGGAGATAGTACAGCAGGTAAGATGCTTGACCTGCATGCAGTTGATCTGGGTTTGATCCTCTGCATATGGTCCCCTGTGAGCACAACCAGCAGAAACCCCTGAGCATCACTGGGTGTGGCCCCAACCATCCCCCACTCCAAAATATGGTATACAAGTTGTTTTCCTGAGAGAAAGTAGTCTGAAAAATACAGTCACTTTATTACAGTATTGTCTCTTTATAACAGTATTGTGCTTTGAAGGAATTGTAGTGTAATAAAAAATTTTTAAAGGCGCGGGATAGGGCTCAAGACATTTGAATAGAGGAGACCAAGTTCATTGCCTGACATCACATGGTCCTCTGGGCACTGCCAGAGACAACCCTGTGCACTGTCAGGTGGGGCCCAAACTTCCCCTGTCAACAAAAAACTGTTCTAAGTGTTGCTATTGCTCTTAATAATTAAGAATTGCTGTGTGACTGCTAAAATATTTGCTTCACAAATTTTGACGTTACCCCCCCCCCCCCACCCTCTCCAGCTTTTGGGCGACATCCAGCTGTGCTCAGGGATCATTCCTGGTAGTTCCCAGGAGACCATAATCAGTTTCACAGTTTGATCTGAGGTTCAAACCAGGGTTGTCTGCATGCAAGGCAATGCCTGTACCTTAATGTCTGTACTTCTCCAGCCCTAAATTTCAGTTTGTCATTATATATATATAATTTTTGTTTGCATTTTGGGTCACACCCAGTAAAGCTCAGTGGTTACACCTGGCTCTGCACTCAGGAATTGCTCCTGGTGCTGCTCAGAGAATCATATGGGATGCTGGGGATCAAACCCAAGATAGCCCTGTGCAGTGCAAACACCCTACCTCCTATACGGCCCCTCAGCTTATCTTTAAAGCATTCCAACTGGGGTGAAGGTGGGGAAGAGGAGATATGCTATCTCTATTTTTACCTAGGCAGGAATGGGCAAAGTATAGCATGAACTCTCCAGGAATGATACTCAACTGTGAAAGGTTTCCAGATTACCAACACTGAATGGGGGTTGCGATTCTGTAGTCATTTATTTCTAAACTTCAGCCATCTTTGTGGGTCTTTACTAGCAAAATTCATGAAGTTTTGACACAGGTAGAAAAAAAATAGAATATTTGAGCAAAAATATGCTCTTGTCTCCGGTAGAGCAACAGAAGAGCTGACTCTGTTGTCAAGCCAGTTGACACCATTGGCTTGCCTTTTCCCTCCG